TGAGTTCTGGAGTGCTTTGCTAGAAAAAGCTTATGCGAAGTATGCTATAGTTTTGAGTGATTTAAACCAATTCATAAAGACTCAAACTTTGACGACACAACAATTTCGGTGACAAGTAGGCAAGCAATTAGTGCTGACATCTAGATTTAGCACCTCGTTATGAAGTTTACTATAACAACTTGGCTGACAAACAAAGACAAGTAGAAAAGTTAAATTACCCCTGTATAGTAGTATTTCGCTGACTCTGAGACTTTCAACTCGTTATACTAATTTGTAAAGGCAATTGATTGAGAAAACCTTAACGTCTTTCCTCAATATCTGAGAAATCTCTTGATGTTAGTTAGAAAGTTCATTTTAATGAGATATTGACTTGTCCGGAAATTCTTGCAGATTTCTTTTCATTACCCTAATTTCGCTTTGCTGATAGATGCTATAAAACGGTTAGCTGAGGGTTCATGAAGGAAACCATAGGTGGGTGTGCGCGACTACTTAAAGTACCGTAAAAACGAATTTTTGGGTCGTTGCTGCCATCACTCAAACCTTTGCAGTACGTCTTATAAATGGTATAAGCTTACTAATATAAGCGGCCAAAATGTAGAGAAGTTAGTCAGTCATTACCGCGAAAAAAAGAATGTAAAAATTTCCCGTAGGAGTATGAACTTAAGTAGGAATAGAGAATAAAATAAGTAGAAATAGGTTGAAATGATCCTTGCATTTTACATTTACCGAAATGAATTTTTTCAAAGCAAAACAAATTAGACAACACGATCAAGTATGTGTTTGGCCCTAATCTAAGTCATTTCAAGGCTCTATGGATCGTATGAAAATCTAGAAGGAGGAACTACAGCGGAAGCTCTTGAAGACTTTACTGGTGGTCTTACTGAGTTCTACAACTTGCGGAAAACAGATAAATCCACAGTTTTGGCTATGATGATTAGAGGATTTCAAATGGGTTCACTCTTTGGATGCAGCATTGACGTAAGTATGCTCTTAGGCCAAATCTCTGCTATATAATATCATCAAGTTGCTAAGAAGGTGAATTCTAAGGTATTCAACAAAATCTTTTCTTCTAAAATATTTACAGTTAACCACTATTTACTTAAGGCCGATCCACATCAAAAGGAAGCTCCTCTGGAAAATGGCCTCGTTCGTGGACATGCTTACAGTATCACGGCTCTACATACTGTGGAAGGTCCCAATGGACAAACTCCAATAATCAGGATTAGAAATCCATGGGGAAACAGTAAGGTTAGTTCAGCTTGGAATCAGCAACTTAACATCACGGAACCGTAGTTTTCAAATTAAGGAATGGAATGGCGCATGGAGTGACGGGTCATCGGAGTGGAATTACGTGGACAGTCAAAAGAGATCAGAACTTGGCGTGAATTTTGCTAACGACGGGGAATTTTGGTAATTTACCACTATTAGCATTTTCTAGGTTTTATATTTGTTTTCGGTTAACATTCTGACATATATAGGATGCCTTTCGATGATTTCTATACTAACTTTATGGAAATGGAAGTTTGCAACATGTCAGCTGCTATAATGAATGAGATCTCGGAAATGACCGGAGTATGTGTGATTTGCTACCACTCTTCACCATCGCAAATTTGCATAGCTCTTTCCATTCTACTCTTTTCTTTCTATTTTACAGCCATCTAAAAAGTTTGTCGTACTATTTTCAGGTAGAAGTGTCCGAGCATCAAGCGCATCAATGGGAAGAAAAAGCTGAAGATGGAGAGTGGAGTGAAGCGAAGGGAACTGCTGGCGGTTGCGCCAACAATCCCGGTACTTTTTCGCGCTGACTAGCTTTTGAAAATCCATATCTACATATTCAGATTCCTACGCCCGAAATCCTCAGTTTGGCACATATTTCATCGTGACAGAGGATTCTGTGGAACAAGATGGTAAATGTACAGTTATTGTGGCTGTGCTGCAAAAATACCGTAGAGAGATGAGAACTATCGGAAAGGATAGTCTACCCATCGGATTTGCAGTTTATCAGGTGAGAGATTCTACTTGGTTTGACTATTTTATGGTACTTTCATGAGCTATGCCCAGAAATTTGGAAATAAGAAGTTTTCTTGCACTAACTCCTAGTAAAAATAAGCGAGTAAATACGATGAGAATATGAATTAACAGTGAAAACCGTAGACGGATACTTAATTTATGGGGTTTCACCGCCAACAATTTGTTTAGAAAAATACAGGATTTATGTTTAGGAATCTCAATCCTGCACAGCAGCTCGTATGCGAAGTTAAAATTCACTTTCATAGTCAAGCTTCGAATTTCCTCGGATTTGTAAAGTAGAGTTGTGATTGCGACTTTGACTAAAAAAAGATCTTTTTTGGCTTTGGTTTGAGATCATAGTCGTATATTGGGCTTGTAATTTATTCACCACAAATCAGCATTAAAGAAAAACAAATAACCTGAAGTAAGAAGTACAGTATTAACCAGACAGGCTCACACGGCATTTACTGCATAATATGAGAGATATAATACATATCATATAATAGTATCGTAAGTGACTCTATCATAGAATATGT